ATGGCAACGAAATACACGGCGCATTCCAGATAGAATCTAGTAGAGACTAGACAATTTCATTTTTTCAATATCTCTCACCTCCTACATTTACACTTCATTGTACGACCATCACTATTCTGTGCTTTCCATTCAGGCTGAATCCCATGGTGGATTCGCTTACTAATTTGCTAATATCTACCTCCTCTGAACGACTCCGTAAACAATCAGCTTAAACAGCACCTAATAAGCACTAATCTCTTCAGTAGCTCTTAATACAAGAAACTGTCAATGCCGCAAAACTTGTAAGCTGAGGGCCTATCGACTTTGATCATTCTTTACAGCTTCCATCCCCTTTGATAGACCATGCATTCGTTCGTTCTTTGGATTCAAGTGATTAGCGCCTATCAAGGGCTGCATAAGCTGACTATTTACTGAATCGCCCAATGGAGGTAGATATTAGCGAATTGGTAGGAGGATCCATCCCTATGGATCGGCCCCAACATTAGAAACGTTCAGTGACCGAGTCTCTGCAATGACAAAACTATCGCAGTTGGGGTCGAACTGTCGTTCAAAGTAGAGCTAACTGGTAATAAAATAATCGCTTGGCGTTAAGCACCAAATGACCGACTTCCATTCGAAATGAAGGAGGCAGATAAGCGTGTACCTTGTTTAGGTATTGTTTTGCAGGAATTATCAGAGGTTTTGCTGGCCGAATAACAATTCAGCCACTTCATTTTTCCCACACAGATTCGGAATCAAGTGAATTGCTTACAAGCAATGGGGAGCCTTGCCTAGCCTGAGCAAGACTCAATATAATCACTGGATAATGCATTCGACGGTGTGCTACTTTCAGAGCTCCTCCTGAACAGACTGACTCCCGGACCGGTTTCGGATGGACCATTGTAGACCTATGGGTTCCGGTTTGTCTCTGCATACTGGACTTCCGAAGCAACCTCTCATTTTTGCGCTCACATTCAGTTCAAAAGTGAGGACTTCAGAAAAATGGAGTAGGAATGGACGAGTTTTCCTAAGAGTTTTTCATCGCTTGATCTTAACTGCATAGAAGGGCTTCTGCTGGTCCTGATGGAGGTGTGGCTTGGTATGTTCTTTTTTTTCTTTTCTCTTGGTATGAGCTTTTTCTACATGAACTCCGCAGCTATTCATACAGTATCTCGTCAAAACCTAGCGGACAATAGGCCCTGCATTTATGGCCGGCAGTACCAGTATGTGGAAGCCACTTGGAAGCGATGACATTTATGATGGTGCCTGTGTGCAATTTATGTCACAAGCACCTGGCCTACTATTCCTTACAAGGAAGTCCTTATTGGCTTCCTCGCCGAGCCTATATTCTCCTCAAATAGAATGGATACTACTTCCACCCACGATTTGAGTATAACCTGTAGCATAGCATCCGTTGAAGTTGGAAGCGAAGTATGTTAGGAAAGAAATTGAAGAACAAAAATGAAAAGATATTTTCAAAAGCAAAATACGCTCATACCACAAAATTTCGCATATTAAAGGGAAAAAAGTGCACTGGTGTAACAGTTGAGCGGGCAACATCAACGCAGCATTCCTTTTCCCATGCTGCCACGTTTCCTGTGCATCCTGCTGTTATCTCTGCTAGAACGATTCAGGCCACGCCCACACCGTTCCTACATCCTCCGTGCCCTTTCAAAATTTCAGAAATTTTAATTATGTGGGCGATAAGTTCCCTGATAAACTTTGTAGAAACCCCTAATCTCTACAGAAACGCCCCTCGACTTTTTTTTTTTTACAAAGGAACTCTTAATTAAAATCGGTTTGCGAAAAAGTAAAGATTTACACCAAAATATCTTCAAGAATATTATAAGTAAAACAATATTAAATTTGAGTACACGATTATTTTTTTTGTAGCACCCAGTATAAAAATGACCTTTTTTTCAATCAAATTGAACCGAAGTGAGGCTGACATCATTTCCATCCAAACTTCCGACCAAATCGCGACCTTTGAGCCCGAACGGAGGGCTGCTAGGGTTTCTCTTAAGCAAATACACTCGGAGATGATTAGTTTTTTCTCGACAAGAACTCGAAAATGAACAAGTACTCTCCCTAGTCACGGTTTCAGGAGAGGGACCAGAATTCTGCTCAGAACTTGAAATGAAAAGTTCCTTGAAATTTCAAAACTTCTCTATTGAAGTCACATTTTCGATGTTCTGTGCATCTATTTCAGTCCACTTGCCTAATCCTCCACTCTTTTGCCATTGAATATGGTGGTCATTCGGGCTAATCCATCTTCATACGCGCACGCACTTTACCATTGCTGTGGTCATATAAGTTAATTAAAACATGAATATTCCACTACCGTTGACAATCGCCACTGCAGCTCATATGTCATGCGGGAATCAGCTGAGTGGCCAGTCCGCTGCACAAGTAACTCCTTAGAAGTACCCAAAAGGAAAAGTGACGAAGGGATATGGTCGAAGGAGGAAAAGAAAAAATAGTGGCTCTCTTCCTTGATTAGAACAATTTGATTTAAAATTTCACTTTCACTTTCAGTTTCATTTCCAGGACATTCTCATTCCGTATTCTCTTTTTCTTTCAGTGAAAAAGTAACCGAATCTTACGGATAGGGGCTTTTCAAAAAATAGTTATCGGTGAAAATTTTCCAAATTTCTCCAAACGATAAAATAACTTGTGTATCAGCCTCTTGACACACACCTTGACTCCAAAGACCACGGCGCCACCCAGGTCTTCCTTCGACCATATGAAATGGTCTGACTTTTTGACACACTCCCGTTCCTCCCGCTGAAACTACTTAAATTCAATCCAGCCCATCCTGAAAATCTATGCCGCTTGTTATGTCACATCAGCTCCCTTTTTTCCAGCAGCTGTTCTTATTTACTTATTTGTCGTTATTTGTATATGAAAAGTTCCTAAAGTAAAACAATCAAAGCTCTCATACTATCAGGAAACTTCAAAAAATCATAAATGGATTAGAGATTTTCTTGATAGCATGTTGCTTGCCTGCAATATTCATTCGTAGATTTGTTTACTGAAATTGATGACGTTATAATTGATCCGGCATCCGGTTGTTGTTTTCACACAAGTCTGCTTGCGTAATTATTATAAATATAATAATATAATAGTAAAGCGACAGCTATATTTGGATGGAATGATAGAAACGATTTTGGTTATCACGAGAAAGATTTTCGAGTAAAAAACGCCGTGTCCTTCCCAACCTCTTTTTCACGCTCTCTAGGGCTTCTAAGTCTAAAGACTCGGGCATCTCTGATGGGATTCAAGTTAGGATTCCTTTTGGAAATGTATATGATCATAATCAAGTGAGCTTAACATTTACGACATCCACGTCAATTCTCAGGGGCTATTGGAGAACCCAGCTAACTAAAAAGTTCCCACTACCCTAAAAGGGTCTGAAGATGACAAGTAACCCTGACGGGAAAACGAGCACACATTTGATGGTGCAGTTACCCGCAAGTCTCATTCTAATCCACACTCAACACCACTGCACTTTCAGGCACCCTAGCCTAGCAATAGGTGAAAAAAGTAATGAAAGCAGGATATGCGCTACTACTAGCTGCACAAGCTCATCTCACTGCTTCCCTAGTCATTCAGAATCTACGCAAGAAGCCATTCAAACCGGGGCAAATTCTAGATTTTCTATGCGTCCGTCTATTTTACCTAATTCTCTTCGGTCGACAGACTGGAAAGATGAATACAGCAAGAAGTATCAAGAGCCAAGCTTTTGTCCGCCGGTTGCAGACCAAGAAGCGCCATCGTTGTCGTTGAAACGAAAGCAAGTCATTGTCCAATTGGTCATGGCTCTCTTCAGAGATTCTTCAGAATTTCTGACATTTTCCCACGAAATCACAGATGTTTCTCTGAACGAATGATAGAATCTCCGCATCCTTTTTCACAATTTTAAACCCGGTTCCTTATCTCTGCAGGTATGATGGAAGAGAATAATCAGAAAAAAGCTGATACCGAACTTTATAGGAATGATTGAGGAAAATAAAGAGGACAATCACCATATCCACAAAAAAACTGGTCAAGGGAGTGTCTGCTCGATGCCAAGGAGAGAAGCATCAAGACCTCACAACGTCGTTGCAGGCGGTGACCCAGCGTAGGAGCTTCCGTCATGGATTTACCGCCCCACACCCCAGCTCATTAATGAAAAGGAACTTTTTTTGAATACTTTGATGAAAGAAGTCTTTTCTGTTCCAGTCCCTTATCCACATTCTACTGAAACCTTTTATTAGTTGCGATCATATTCGAAGAAACGATTGAGCTTGCTAGAATTTTTTTGTATCTTCTTGTATCCAATTGTTTTTTGTATCTTTATCAGACTTTATTATTACCTACATTCACAAATCTGAGCAACAATCTTGAAGCAGAACTAATCAATGGCACATTTCCAGCTTTAGAACTAGTCTCCCTACCTCTGGGAACTTCTCTATGTCAGACATGATCATTTTTTCTTTGAAATATCTTTCTCACTACGTAAATGAGAGGAATGGCAAGCTCGGACGCTACTGAACTATGCCCTAGCGCCATGGGGTGCGCCACGCATTTTCGTTGAACCATTCGATTGGAACGTGACGAGCGAATAGAGTGATCAATCAGAAGCTAGCAGTCAGTGCTTAGGGGAGGAGGGGTCCTTACGACTCCTTAAGAATTTTAGATAAACGTCAGCATGGAATGGGGAGCATATTCTGAAACGTCCTCGGCGACATGTCCAGCTGTCCCTTCCCCGATCTTTGGACATAATTCTAGTCAATTGGTGAAAGAATGGAGAACGGTTGAATGCCCTGGAAGTTTTACACCATTTATTGAATTCCAGACATCCCAGGGATCAACGTTCGCCTAGCAGAAATTAGATATGGCAGCCGTCGCCCAGGAGTCACCCATCTTTTTACAATAGGGGCAACTTTGTTTCCACGAATCTTTTCAACTTCTACGTCTTACTTTTGAAAGAACCAACTTCTTTTACGCTCCTCCTTCTCATTCGGTCCATCTCATCTCACTCACAATCCCCTTCGCTCTTCCAAAAGGCACTGGTCATTACTAGGTGGGCGTGGCCGAGCCAATTTTCCCGCAACAATATTCGTCTCTCCTCCTTCTCCTCTTGGTCCATGCTCAGCCATCCTGAGCTACCACTCCTTCCAACTCATTCCATGAGTAATTTCATTCACCTCATTTTTTCTTGTTCTACCGTATACTTTGCCAGGATAGAAGTAAGTCTCTTCCACTGCCGTATAACCAAAAAAGGCTACTGCCCACAAGAGTTCTCCCCAGAGAAAAGCGTCTTTGTGTTGGCCGAACGGAAACTGGCTAGAGTCGTACTTTTCAGTGGTGAAATTGGAAGAAAAAGGAAAAGTGCAATTCAGTTTGGTAGCTGTTTTTATGTCACTCATTGAAAGCTAGTATTATGCACCTCCTTGATTTGTTCTCAGAAAAACCTTATACTGACTATGCCTAAAGGGCTACTTCAGAAGCAATTTTCTACCTCGGAAATGCCATTTCGTTATTGCACAGACCTCTTCCACCTTCGGCAACCCTAACCCAATTACTTGATGGTAATCAAACTCGGATAGAACCTCAGTTTTCGCAATAAAAAAGGAGAAAAAAAAGTTTGCTTTTTTAGAACACCCTGCAGCGGAGCTTCTCTTATGCTATACTCTTCAGTGGAGTATTTCCTCTGGATGTTTTCTAAATTGAGTTCTTCATTTCAGAAAACCACTAAATTCTATTTGATAAACAAAAAGCATTGGAGGCTAACAGACGCCTCATTCAGCGGTTAATGACCATGATCTATTTCGCTAGCCCGCTCTATGCGAATGTTTCTTCAGACGCGCCTTTTGCGTGTCCAGATGAGTAAACAAATAAATAAATAAACAGGGAGGGTAGTCAAAAAATATATACAATTAAATGGACTCGCTGCTCGTTAAATTTTTTTGACACTTTCATTGTTGAATAATTGTCCGGTCGTTTGGCAGTGAGTTCATATGCCATTTCAAATCTATGGCTAAAATCATGGTAAACGGAAAGGTCCTGAGAAGCCACCAGTTTCGAGTTTTTCCTCTGAGAAATTCCCGTTTCATTTTGGCCTTTTGCCCTCAAAAAAATACTCCGTTTCACTTCTCTTATTAGAGTTGATGGCGTTACAAGCTTTTGATGGCCGGCCCACGCCAATAAGCCTGTCCAAAAGCTATGGCAGAAGGGCGACCATCGAATTTGCAAAGGGTTCCCTCAACAAAACCGACAAGTTCCCTTTTTATGTGCATATAATAAGGTCATTTCAGAGTACTGTAACACTCTCGATCGTCTGAATGGCTACTTGAAAGTATTTAATTCGATCACCAGGATGGTTTAAGGATCTTGATAGCGCCTATCGCCTATATTTTCATTACCAAAACGGCTTACAGCTCACTTTCAAGCACCTGCTAAAAGACTGCTGTCAAAAAGAAACAAAGTAAAATCTGAAAATCTACCCCATAATACAGATCTAAAATAATCTTACGTTCCGCCTCCTTCTTACAGGATGATTTCCAGCTTCTTCCTTTTTCTCATCATTCCGTTACGTAATGCTCATTTTACATGGTAAAGAAAACCTGTCTTTTTTCTATCGTACCTCAATTTAGCCGTGTTCCCGTACAGAATCTTTGTCGAAATCGCTGCCAAGTATACGGTATCCTTCTCCTTGCATGGATAGTATCCTTTCAGGAAATTTTGTCGAGCCTCATCATAGAGCAACGTGAGTCCGAATTCGTTACAACCGGCCTGAAATAGCACAAACATGAGGACGAATGACGTCATCGTCGCTGTGCTTCTAGCCTGCACTTCAACTAGTAAGTTTCGCTAAAACTAATTACACACTGATTTTTTAATGTATTGTGCCCGCACATGATAGAAGGTAGCACTTTTCATGATTGATCCCGCCCATTCTACACAACTCTATCGTAGGGAAACCATTCACTACATTCCCGGTATGGCCACGACTGAGAGATTAGCAACTTTCTTTCCAAAGAGCATCCTGGTAAGACGAGGGTTCTAATTGTTAGTATCAGAGTTCCAGCTGACCATTTTGGTTCTCTCTTATTCTTGGAACAAATACGCATGTGAATAATTCACCGATATTATCCAACTCTTTTGGAAAGCATGGCGCACTCCAACCGGGCTGATCAGGACCAATCGCTTTCTTGGTTATTCTTATTTCATTAGGCTTTCTATTAGCCCTCTCATAGAAGCTATACTGAACCGTTCAGACGCTATAATTATCTGCTAATTAGTCTGCCTCTGCAATTATAATCGCAATTATATTAGTCATCTGAATAAGCTGTAGAACAGATACTCTTTGTGCCACAAAATTCCGCCTTAATTTTCCTATTTCAAAAACAAAATAAGCTGGGATATAAGCGAAGAGTGTCCTTATTAGCTTTTCTTTTCTGCAGTATTAGCCACAGCTGCGTGCCTGGAATCCCAAGCTTTTCACTTCGTTGGGAAGTTCCAGTTAGTAGTTGCTTACTTAGTTGCTCACTAGGTAAACATTGTTAATGTGAAAGTAAGGCTTAAGACAGTGGCAGAAAAAGGGAAATCGAACTGTCCTAGTCACAGAGATTGACCCAAGCTGATCCACTCCTGCGACGAACCCTCAATAGGGTCAGTTCCAGATGTTTCCAACATTTCCGATACCACTACTCATACTTGTACCTCCACCTTCAATTTCCGAAATATATTCTGTCGATGGGAGGGAAGGAGCGAAGTGGGAGGCGATTCAGTCACAGCACAATCTCCTCCTAGAATCAAAGACTTGATGTAAACCGGAATTTCTTTAGTTTTTTTCTTTGAAAGCGGTGGAAATGCAGGGGAAGATCAGCATTCATACCATTTTAACGTCATAAATCCAGGCTGCTCCGATTACCGCCATTCAACCAGCTGTGTCATAATCCTTTGCGGCCTTTTGCTAAACACTCACACTTCAATCACCGTTTCCCCATCGACCGTAGCTTGGTTCTTTTTACTCTGGCGCTTCTGGGAACTTCCTGGGAACTCATCCTTGCGGTATTCATATCTCTCATACCCAATAGAACGGATTCTACTTTGTTAGGAATAATTAGAAACAATTATAAAGGCAGGATACGGTATTAAAAATACTCTCACTGACGTCTAACTTCCGAGATTTTCTTTTTTGAAGGGATCCTGTATAACGCCTCCGTGCCCAAGTGAAAACCCTTAAAAGCCTCTATTGCCCCACAAAATGGGTAATTCATACACAAAGGAGACCATCTGAGCCAAAGCGCCGAGCTTTTGTTTGTCTTGCTCGTTCACATATGGAAAACGCCACACACCATTGGAACGCAGCCAAAAACTGCCCAGCTGCGTGGCTGGATGCCTTTTTTCTGATTCCAACACAGCACAGCTGCACTGTGAGGAAATCCGGTCCCATTGGATTTTTTTCGTCTAGATGCCTCAATGCTCGTCATCGCTATCAGACGGGATATTCGTCAAAATAGACGGGGTTATACTCGATCCCAATTGAATGTGAACAAGGTCGAGCAGAGAAGGACAATGCCGAAACGTTAACAAGCCAGATGAAGAGTATGAGGTTTAAAAAAACACTATACCATGGGTATACAAGGTAAGCTGAGGAACCGAAGACCAGGAAGGCCGCACACGTCATGGGATTTTGTGATGGCCGTTGGACCATGGCGGCTACCGACTGGGCCCCAAGGGACCTTAAGCGAACATCAGAGCGGCGCCAGCCTTATGGTCAGATTTCTGAAAGAGAGCGAGCCCTGAATGAAATGAGTGACTCGCTTCGTGCCCCTCGAGCAATGAGGGTTAACTGGTCTAGATTGGTTTGCAACAGGGACGGATGGAAAAGTTACCGGCGCCAATTGGAGCAAATTGATGATGTAAGCGATCAACAGCTAGCAACAGTAGATTGACACTCACCTTGCAGATCGGAGGCAGCTATCAAAATCAATTCAATTCTTGAAAATTGAGTTTTTCATGCTGCTTATCCTGCATTGGATGAGCCAAGTCATCGATTTTGATGGTCATTGTGCTGTGTAACGCCGAAGCAGATGAGGGTCTTTTCGCTTCACAAAATACCTTCCTGCTGAAGTTCAACTCAGGCCTTCAGCCTCTCCGATCAATCCCTTCTCGGAGTCGTACACGAATGAGTGAGGCATTGGGCCATTGAGCAAACTTTTATCCCTTAGGTGGAGAATTTCCGGCCAAACTTGCTTTTTCATCAAGCAATGAATAACCCTGTTCTCTTTTTCCGAATGGAGGTGGTACGGTAATGAGAGCCATCGCTGCCATTCACATGACTTGAAGGACGACAACATTTTCACGACTGCAATGCCCCTGGTCCTTATTCGGTCTGTACTCATTTTCAGAACCAGCTCTATTCGTGGATATGTCCACTGATTCAGATCCCCGTCCTTTTCTTACTAATTCACTGGCTAGCTGGATTCGCAAAAAAAAAACTCTAAGATCTTTTGCATAAGTGTGCCAACTGAGTACGTGACACTACCTCGACTTTCTGTCCCTTCCTGCTTTGCCGCCTTTTTCGTGCCTTTTCCAACTCATACAGCAGACAAAGGTCTGCCATAAAGTGCGAGGTAATTATTCTACGCGCTTCATTTCTAACTTAATTTCACTCCCATTTGGCGCTCCCCATTGCAGCAACATTTCGAAACGTTTTCGTGCAAGCTTTTTTTCTAGGAAAGGCAATTCAATGAAAAGGCAGCACACTGAGAATAGCGATGCTCTGTCGCTATCGCTCCAAGAGTGGCTGACCAAAAGCTCAGGGTAGGGCTCTAGCAAAATCTCTATTACCATTCCGCACGCCACTTGGCGTGGCCACTACACCCTTCGATCGGGCCTTCACTAATTCCCACGTAAGATCTCCAGCTGACTCAGCGATCTACACCTCTGCTTTTTCGTCCTCCTGAACGACTCGCGAGTCGTAAAGGAAGACGAAAATGAAGAGATACTCGTGTACTAGCTTACTCGGATATGTTATGGGCCAAGTACGCACCACCCCAGTGATCCAGAAATACGCAGATTATGAATTTCACTTTCGAAAGATTCTGAATACTGTTACGTGTTTTATCCTTCTCGATTGTCACAATTAATAGCACTAGAAAATAGTTCACAATCGACGCAATAAAACCACACGCACGATAGGTTCACGGCACATACTGTACTCATTCAATCCGGCGCACCGAGCTCTCCACTATGCTTTCAATCGTATACCGTATACAGGACAACCACTTCCGAACTGTTCTTTGAAAAAGTCAGATCTAACCAGAAGAAAAAATTTGCAAGAACTGTGCAAGGACAGGACGGAGATTTCTATGTGAACCTAAAAATTTCATTCATTTTCTAATATTTTTGTAGCCATGACAACTGGGAGGAGCAGAATGACCACCTCCGACTAATAGTTCCGTTTTTAAGAAATCTCTCCACAAACACTAGAACAAAATATTAAGAAACATTCAAGATAAAAGGAAATGTTCACGTGGTCAAATTTGACCGATAAACTAGATGCGCTGTATATTCGACTTCCATATAAACACGCCTGAATCGTACTATGAACTATGGCCTGCCAAAGCAGCAAACCTTTGCCCGTGACAAAGACTTCTGCATTAAAAAGGGAATTGTTTCAATCAATCACGTCTAGAAGGAAGGGAGAATTGATCTGCTCATACCATGCCACATGCTTACCAATGCACTACTCCAGGGCCATACAATTCAATTAGTCTTCATTTTCAAGACCCTTCTAACTTTAAGAAACTTCCAGAAGCATGCTAGGGTCATTCCACCAACGAACCGCCACTTTTGTAAAGCTGTGAGCCGGACTAGACTGAGCAGCTTCATAACCGCAAACTTAGAGGGGAATTCTATACCCGTCACGTATTTTTTGACTTTGATCCCTAATATAATGAACAACTAAGTCAAAGGAATATTTAAGGCCAAAAGAGCTATTGGTTGTGAGCATGTCACACAACTATTACAGTGATTTTATTACCTCTGCTTTGCCATTAACAATCCACTGTGAATTCACTGCCAATTTAGAAGCCAGAACCACTCCAAAGACGTATGGGCCCGAATCTTTTACGATTTTGTTAATTGCACTCTCGTCATCAGTGCACCTGCTCGTCAGAACTGAACTCTGCAATTTCATTTCCACCCTGTGCAGAGGAAATAGAAAAACGCCTTCAACGATTTTTGGGGGGAAAACACGTCCGTGCATCCAACAACTCGTCCTTGGAAGGGACATGAAGAAGCTAACCGATTGCTACTCACAGTCGTGGACGTGAACGTAATTCGAAAATCGGAAGGCGGATTAGACAAGGACTATTTCCCACATCACCAACCAGTAGAACCAATAGAAGTTGATTGATAGAACTCCTTCGAATTGCAACTTTTCCGATGTGAAGCGTACATGGTGAAGTTTCTTTAAAAATACCAACCGTTCGCAAACTTATCGTATTGTCAGTGTTTATGCGTAGCATTGTTTACATCACTGATTAAAAATTGAAAATCTAGCCTAACCAGATTTTCCTCAGAACCTAAACCATAATATGCGTTTCGTGCCATTGAATACAGCATGAAGGCAATCTGGATGCATGAGTGGATTCCCTGAGATCCGTCTGGGCTCCCAATTCGGAACCTCGTCCAGTCAGAAAACAAGACACCGATAAAGAATGCGCAGTGGCGCCAAAAGTTCCTCCCACACCTTTATCGAGTCCACCACATTCAGTTTTTAGAAAACTTTTCAAAGCGGTGCTGAAGGGGTCAAAAAATTTCCGCCATTGACTAGCCGTACCGTATACCAACTGTTACTCTTTTTTTTCAGTATTGGCACTAGAATGTATGCAATGTGACAAAAACGCCGCCTGGTACTCAGAAGAGGAACACGAACGTCATATTGAAATGTGTCAGCATGGACTTGTGCCACCAACTCCCTGTCGTAATAGCTCTCATACGCATTGTATCGTCAGCTGGTATCGTAGCGGTGGAAGTACAGGTAAGTATAAACAGACACTCTCAGACAGTCACAGAAAATTCGCAAAGGGGTTTTAGGACGACTTTCCTGAGTATTCTTGACAAAAACCTATTTTAGTGTAATTAAAACCTTATCACTTGAAAATTCTTCAGCAGAAACTTCGAGACCCACTACACACTCGTCCCGGCCCGGTCGAAAAAAAAATGAAAAAAACAATTTTCGCCTTTTAAGAATTCTAGTTTTAAAATAAGGAAACGATAGTCAGCCCAATGACTGCTATAGTATCTTGCCTAATAATTAATATATGCAATGCTATAACAAACCTCGGACAACTCCCAGATGCAAGCATTTTGAACTAGGATTTTTTACATGTCGTGAGACAAAGTCAGATCCCCCTTTACCCACTAGCTTCCATGGCGAGAATTCATCTAAGTTCCGAAAGTGGGATGGAAAAAAACTCAGCACTCCCTTCATCTTACGGCGACCAAAATAAGGTCAAGCTGATCGTTGGACGCTGAAAATGAACGCGGCACATCGTTTCGAACACAGCGGGACGACGTTCTCTACTGGGACCAGCGTACTCAATTACGATCATGCTGGCGCTCGACGGGGATGCGATGTGTTGCGGGTTGTCGTCAAAGTCATTTGTCAGGCAGTCGGCTTTCTGTCTCTCATCACCAACGCCGAACCGCTTATGGATTCGCAACGTCTCCAGGGAGTCGGATAGCATATTTTGTTGCATCCAGGGGTAGCAAGCGCCTTGGACTCGGTAAAGGACGTTTTCGGGAAACTTCGAGATCCCAAAAGTTGGGGTCAACCTGGTTAGAACGTGAAACCATTCTATTAGGGGTCGACACTATTTTTGGCGTAACATAGCCATTTCGATAGGCTAAAAGTGCACTTGTTATGCAGATCTATATTTCAGCTCTAAGTGACACTCATAAGGGCACGTGCAGCTCCGGAGGCATAATATGTACGGCTCGTGTTTCTGTTTGATGAAAAATACATTCCGGGTCTGGAGGAGCCCTCACCAGAGTTAAAAGGTTCGAGGGACTCAAAAAAAGAATGTAAATACAAGAATGACGAAATATTAGGGAAATTTCAATCGCCTTAAAATGGCTTTCCCGCCAATTCAGATGAGGGCAGAGATGGCTGTTGTGCCTACTTTGAGAGTCATGTCACCCGCGTGGGATTCTCAAATTTTACATCAAGACACTGACCTAATACGAGTTCTGTCTGACCGCACGAACATCGAAGTCACTGCGACCTTTTCTGGAGGATTGGTTTGAGTCAAATTCAGCTTATACCGCTCAACATTCTTTTTCTTTATTATCGTCCCCTTTTATTCTTAAAAGGCATTGGCTGAAAACAACCTTTTATCCAAGCCTTCTATCCACGCGAGTCAAACCAGCGTCGCTGATTAGGATAGAAGCGATTACTTGAACATCGGTCCTTCCCTTCAGGACATTGTACAGGCCACTACACCACCAGACAAAGATACGATACTGATTAAAAGTCGAAGGATGGGAACCCAAAACGGTATCGACCAATCTCTTTCGGTAGAAGGAATGATACGATCACAAATTGTAGTTGTTTATGTCTCTGCGCAAACTCTGGTTGCGTCTTCAAACAAATGAACTGATAAAAAGTGGGTCTCTGCTTGCCAACGCTCTCCACACCTACTCATCAACTGGTAACAATTACCCAAAACATTCACCACTCCTCTATTTTCATTGCGTGCACACCGCAGTATATCAAAACAACGTATTGTTCTCACGTTGGGTTGTCGCCCCGTAAATCCACCCACTGTGATGCCAGTCTAATTAGGCGTCCTTTAATAAGTACCGCGCAGGGCGGTGTTCAGAGTCCCATATATCCGTGTGCGACATCTAATTGTGTGAAATTGGCAATGCTCCGCCATCATGCAAGTGGACCCTCTCGTCAAGGGGTGTCGACAATATGGACATGGGAGCCATAAGGAGCTCAAGATAGGGAATTTGAATTCAAGATGGGATATGACAGAAGGGATGTGCTTGCTCAAGAGGAACAATTGCGAACCCTACAAGGTCTGTTCTTTTCAAATAAACAATGCTACTTGGTTATTAACAAAACAATCTTTCCTGAATTACTGGTCGAACACCCAACAAAGTATTAGGGATGAGTATTCAAAAAAGGCTGCGGGGCTCCACCGTGGTTTCACTCAATACAGAAACAAAAAAGGTGCAAGGATTGTCGAATGTAAAAATTAGTTTTCAGTTATCAGCACGACGAAAAAATTTCACAAACCGCACATTACCCGGCAGTAAGTAAAAGTGGAGTGATGGCAACTGGCTCCAGATCCGCGTATAAGACCTGCGGATCAGCTCCCGATTCAAATCCGACCTAGATCGACCAAATCTATAACTCTAGCAGAAGCTGCTATTTGGTTGTAGACCAGTTCAGTCTCGACCGTAACCACTAATTTTAACGGCCACCACGATTCTACATACAATTCAAGGACTGAGACTAACGAGGGACTCCACTCTTTCCATACTTGTCAAAGTTCTTTCACCCAAAAAATCTAAGTTTGAAAGCGCCAAACCAACGTCCGGGTTTTGTTTGCCCACCGCTGCATATCGCGGAACTTCGTCAATGAGTTCTGTGACATCAGGCTTCATAACCACGGCCGAGTTTCAAATAAAGAAAAGCTCGCATTCTCGACCAACAACTAGGAACTCGGGAGAGCGTCCAACTTCTCGACTGGTTACAAACCACTTCTCGTACTCATATCGAAGGCTCACTTTTGATTATTTTTCACGACCTGTTCAGACGGTCCAAAAATTTTTTTCTTTGTATATGGTTTACTTCCTTGTTGTTTTCGCCCACTATCTTTTTTTTCTTTCCACAATTTCCAACCAGATCATCGCCATCTGATTTCTGCTTGCGCTTAATGTATCCCTGGCTGTTTTGAACGAACGAAAAACAAATCAATGAATAAACAAATAAACGAATGCATAACGCACTTCAGATGTTCATAGTAATTGCTCAGATTATATTTACTCCTTGAGTCAACTTAAAGTATTGCTCTGATTGATGCTCATTTCAGAACGAGTTGTCACCGAACGAAAATGTGGAGGTGTTGAAGATGTAACAGGATGCACTTTGTACAATTCAAAGATCAGCCGCAAGGTGAGCTCTCACTAATTGATCAGAGCGATTCACTGAAGTGTTCAGTTCGCTTCTTTTTGGCTGATTACCACTCTACAAATTAGTATAACCAAGTTCCTAGTTCCGGACTTCAGGGACGACATAAATAAAGCGCTCGGAAGTGATCTACGAACCTTAGTAAATACAAGTAAATATGCAGAAGTAAACGTAAACCTTTCGATATTGATTTCGTGACCAGACATTTTCCTCTCGATGAACGAAAAATCTCTGAATCATGCTTATTGTGTGGAAACCCACAGGTTTAGTAGAATCAGCTGACCAGGGCAGCCGCCCCGCGAACGCCCGCATCTGAGGCAGGCGATCTGAGATCGGGATACAATAAGAATTTCTTTCGGAAACATTCTTACACCTGGTCCTTAAACCACTAGTCCAACTGGATATTGTAAATTTTCACCAGCTTGGGAATTTACACCCAAAACAAACAATAATTGAATAATTAGAAAAACATTATTTAAAAAATCCCTTTTACTCGCCAATTTCGCGGCTTTAAGACGCTTTCATGGTTCATCCAGATAGATCAGTGAGCAGTGCTTTAAGATGAATCAAATTTAGGTCCGTCATCTAATTTCAAAGGAACCCTCCACAGGAACCGTTCGACGAGAAACATCTACTCTTTTTGTAGAGGTAATATACAACATTTCCTTTTCACTAGACAAGAATCATTTCATGCTCGTTCATACTTCCAGGTATGTAGTGAATCCTGCCCTGGCGGAGAATGCGTGAGTGAAGCCCCTAAAACGAGTGCGGTTACGGTAGCCCTGATACTTCTACTGACCCTATATTTACGCTGATGAGCCCTGAAACCTCACAAAATCCTATTACGGCATTCCATCGATTGGTGACGATGGAGTATGGTACGTCATCAGGCAACATCCGTGGCCACATACAAAAGTGCTGTACCGTACTCCATAAATGGTAACTATGCTAAGACATATCGATTGATTCCGCTGTACTCTAAGACTTTCATACGTAACACGGTGACATGCTGAACGGTTCCATTGTAGTGATGTACTAGTCTGCTGTTTAATTGATTATGATAGCTATATCCGATATTTTTCGTTTTTATTTTATCTTTAACTTTTTTGTGCGTCCGCTTATAAGTGTCCCGAACTGAGACAAAATTTACTGCAAATATGTAACTGAAAAAATAATATACCTTCAATTCCGTAGCAAGCGAAGCGTGCGCGCTGCGGCGAAGGACGAGATGCGGTTTTTCGCGGGAGTTCTCCTGATCCGTCCATTTATCGACTTTAGCGCGCCATTTCTTCACGTTCAGATGGGCTAGAGGCTTATGATCGGGCTTGAGCTGAAGACCTGTACAGAATTCGATCATGTCAATCAATACTGTGATGGGACAATTTTTAACTTACTTAGACTCTCAGAGCACACCCATAGAGCAAATAGCTTCAGTGTATTGCTCTCAATACTGAGTTCGCGACCAATTTCACCGAGTATAGCACCAGCAGATGTCTCTGCGCCATCCGTAAGTTGGACCATCACATTGCCGGCTGCTAGGAAGTCTACCTGCCAGACAATACGAATTATCGTTAAACCGTTTTGAAAACTACGTACAGGCCTAAGCTCACCTGAATTTTTTCAAGTTTCTTCCAATTTGTTAGCAATTTCGCCACATCTTGCCATGCTTTTTTAGGAACATCCTTGCATAAATCTACCGGTCGATTTCCATCACGATTCCGTAAATTCTGCTCATAGAAACTATCCATTAATAAAAAATAAGACATTGCGGACTCCAAAATTAGGCTTCCACAGATAGACTAAAGCGCGGACAACCAGAATATCCTCTCTGTCTATGCCTCATAACAAAACTGACATACTTTTCAACATTTGTAGATGCCTACGCCATAAATCTCAGGACATTTTTCCACAATCGTTTTGTATTTGATGTAATCGTTGTATTGCCTTATGTGGACTTTTTAATAAGTATTTTACTATATTCTATAGAATAAATGTTATAAAGCAATTCAATTCACCATGTCAATTCCTGGATGACTGAGCAACAACTCGACAAGGTAGGCATTTCCATTCAGTGCAGCGAAATGTAATGCCGTCGCTCCTCCTTTGTTTTGTGCGTTCACCTGTGAACTCATCACCTTCAGATCTATCAAATAGTAGGAGGAAAAAAGCTTTGAAACGATTCAAAAAAAAGCTACTGAGTTATTTTTTGCATTTGATTTCTTTTTTTTCCCACCGGTCACTGATGCCTAACTGCTAGAGCCGATAATCATTACCTTATTTGATCGGGTCGCACCAAGATCGAATCAGTCCTCCAGCTTTTTTCAAAGTCAACCCTCTCATACCAGATATATTTAGGCAAATGGCAACTCTTGGACATTTCGCACCCTTGAACATTTTTTCGTCATGTAAAGCCGTACCATATTCTTCCGGATGTCTTCATCATTTGAAAAAAANAAAAAAAAAGCTTCTGAGTTATTTTTTGCATTTGATTTCTTGTTTTTTTTCCCACCGGTCACTGTTGCCTAACTGCTAGAGCCGATAATCATTACCTTATTTGATCGGGTCGCACCAAGATCGAATCAGTCCTCCAGCTTTTTTCAAAGTCAACCCTCTCATACCAGATTTAGGCAAATGGCAACTCTTGGACATTTCGCACCCTTGAACATTTTTTCGTCATGTAAAGCCGTACCATATTCTTCCGGATGTCTTCATCATTTGAAAAAAATCAAATAGGGAAGCTTTTTAGTGCTCTTTAACCGCAGTCCGTCGCCACCATTGCTAAGTCTACTTATCTCGCTGCTTCTACTCTAACGAAATGTCCGGCTTAACCGTTTACTTCTTGCCATTTCGCCAGTAGCATTCAAGTCGGTTTCACAAGGTAGGTTGGCGTACCCGTGTGCCGAAGTTCCGACCTGGTCCTATGACTCCTGACTGAACGAGGGCACCATGGTCAACTGGTGCGGTTTCTGGCTGTAGGGCACTTGGCACTGACTATCAGTGCAGCTCCTGGAGATTGATACTCACCGGTGTCCCTGTCCTCTCTCTCTTCCTAATCTCACATTGTACAGTGGCGGCGGGTGGTTTACTTGCTTCTAGTAGTGGTGCGCACTAAGTGGGTGCATAAATAAAAAAATAAATAGTTTTCGGCTTCTGGATTCACCCTTCAGAACCTCCTCGATCCGTGTCGTTCAATAAATCACCTTTGAATTTTGCCATAGCTCCTGCAGTTCAGAGAAAGACTATATTTGGATTGCCGACTTGAAATACCCCTACCTAAATTAGAAAAGTGGGACCAAAGAAAGGAGCATACCCTAAAACGAAATAATGTACCTTCCTTCTATCAATACCACCTAATAAAACCCATAACCCATACAAAACGTCGCGACGGGAACGACGAATCAATATTTGACCACAACTTTCTTTACACTCCATTTCGATTTCTCTCTAAAAACTGACGATGGATTCTTCGGGTGAACCGTATACTGAAATATTACTCTCATATGTGGTTATGTGTACAAAAGTAGTGAAAAACACTGATAAACGGTCACGCTGTCACTGTACAGAGCCATTGCGAAGCTGAGTCACCGTAATTGATCGTTGGGCGTTCGCTCAGACCCCGCCCAGAAACAACCTTCCGATACGAGGTTACTACTCCCGTCGGCCGTATACGAGTGACGCTCCTGATATTCGTTCTGTAACTATGGCTGAAAAATCTGATTCTGCCAAAAAAGCCGATGCTTCTAAAAAAGCTGATTCTGCACAAACGGAGCCGAAGACGGTCTCATTCAAGCTCCACCTGGACGGCGCCATGCTCAAAGTCAGTTACAAAAACAAGGACGATCTGTACGATTCGCTGCAAAAGAAGCTGGCCGACTTGGGTATTTCAATAACAAATGTCTATACGTATGATCATGAGAATCACCCTATTCAACTGAAAGACGCCGATGCAGCAGCCGAGGCCGCGTCAGGCGACAAGCACAAGAAAGAGCCTGTTCTATTTTCTGGCAGCCCTGATCACCATTCCAAACATCATCCCTTCGGCCGATGTCCCTTCTTCAGACATCGCTCATTGTCGAGTGGCAGCTCTAAAGGCCATTCTCCTGACCGCGACCACTCTGAAAGCCACGAACACTCCCGTAGCGATCACCACCACCGCCACCATGGCTACCATCATGGAGCTCATCCCCCACTTTTCGGCCACCATATGGGCTCTCCAAACGCTTGCCCATTCCTTGCTGGATTTGGTTCTAGTCATCCCAGCCACCATATGATGGGCTCTGGAAACGCAGCTTTAGCTTGCCCATTCCTCGCTGGGTATGGTTCTAGTCATCCTGGCCACCATATGATGGGGTCGGCATCCGGAGCTTGTCCTTTCCTTGTTGGGTATGGTTATGGACATGGTCATGGGTTTGGTCATGGTTGCCCTGTGTTCGGCTACAAACCTCACTCTCGAGGAAAGGATTGTGGAAAAGATTGCGGTCATGCATCGGGCCACGATTCTCATGGTTCCAACAAATAAATCCGATTTACTGATTGTGTAATCATCCCAAGCTACTGATGAATGCTCGTGCTAGTGCCTCTCTATGTATCACTATTTTAACGTCAGTACCACGCAGTTAATAAACATTCTTATCATCTACACAGTACTTTTGCATAAGACAGGTTTTGCAAATGAATGACTATATTACTGTTCATTGCGATTTGAATTTGCAGATCAATGCAGATCAAAATGGCAAATTGCTTGAACTTAAACTGGTACTAACTACTACTAACTAGTAACTTATTAAACTTCTAACAATGTTTCGACTGCGGAGTGACTTAGCTCAAGCGAGGCGTGGAGTGACATAGCTAATAATTTCTGACCGGAAGACTTGCCAATAAAGTTTACATGTACCTTGCATTCGATCGAAGTTTAAAATCTCAAAAACATAACGGAAAGAAACGGTACAGTGATGGAAGTGTGTAACTTACATGAAAGAAATGTAGTTGGTTCTATCGAGCCTACTATTGAATTAGGGTTTCAAAACGCACTATACTCTCAGCAGCGCTATTTAGTCAAATATGCTCGATGAATGTTTCTCATTGACCCTTGAATCCCAATAGGAAGATAGTTTTGTTCTAACCCCTCCCCCCGGGAAGAAAACTTTCCTAGAACTAACATTCCTTATTGATTTAGTTCCCATCGCACAAACAAACGACGATTTCGTGTTCGTCAGATCGCCGAGAAACGACGTTGTTAAGTTTTTCATAAAAGGAATTTTAAATCGAGTTTCCATGAGAACGTCATTGACCCCAAGGTGTGGGATTACATTATGCTATCGCTTTCCCATTCACAACAAATTAAAAAATAGTTCAATGCCAGTGTGTTCTATAGAGAATCGTAAACAGTAAACAGTAAACTGTAAACTATAAAGTCACGTCCACGAAACACTCACATTGGCATTTCCGCTGTTCAGCAGCGCTCTCATAGCATCCAATCGTTCGTAGAAGGCCGCATAATGTAATGGCGTCCATGAGTCCCGATCTAATTCTTTTGCATCGACACCCAGTGCCAGTAACGACCTGCAGAACTCGTTCTCAACTTATAAAATGAATTAAAAACATAGAAATCAAGTCTGAGTTTAACGTGCCGCGTTTCTAACTACCTTTTAGGAGCATTCTGTTGAAGGCATTAATAGTACTTTACTGAAAGGCATTATATGAGCACATACAAGAACAGTTGCACCCATTGCAACTATTCCAGGTTATCCCATATTTCAATACAACCAAAGCAAGCATATATGAAAAATAAATACTGGTACACAACCATGAAAAACGAGTTTTGGTATCAGAATTGCGGAATGAATGGCCGTACATGATTATCAGCGGTATAAAATGAAGAATGAGTATGAAACGAAGTGTCAAATTAGTGCCACATTGGTTAATAGGTTTGTACTAGGTAGGTCCAACCAGCCATAACTCCTACTGCCGATCGAAAGTACAGATGTAACCGGTTGTTTTGTGAGAAAAAGCTTTTGCGGATCGAAAAAACAATCAAATGACAAATGGAATCGCAGGGTCAACTGTAAAAACTTGAAGTGGTGCGAATGACAATTCAATTCAACCACCAAATCGATTCGAATGAGCAGCGGAATAGCCAAGAGAATTGTCCCGATATGAAATGAGGAATGAGATAGAAATTGTAATGATAAAATGGAAAAGATAATAGCGAACTAGGAACTCAACCAATATGATTAAGTGGAATTGAATGAATTGCCTTCGATTCGTAGACAGACCGTAACGAACTGGGTGCAAAATTGCGTCCAGACGTTGCACCGCTTGCGATTTTGAGCGTCAAAAAAGAAAACTATTGCCTGTTCTTTGGGCTTTTAAGTCTACTTACCCACATGGTTGCGGTTTGTTGATCCATTCAATTAGCTCACCTACTCCTAAACAACACCTAATAGCAGTCATCGTTGTTGGGTAGTTCACTGTTTTTCATCTCCATGACGGAAATTGAAAGTGACACCCAGAAGAATCATGGAGGACGAAGATTGAAGTCAATATTGAGGTCTTCAGTCACACTACTCGAAAAGAAACACAGAAAAGTACTAACTCTATGGCAGCTGCATCTCCAACGTAAGCAGCTCGATGCATGGGATAGTTTCTGCTCCAGTCATCTGAACCCACAGATCCTTTTGAGGCTGTACGAATAGTTCGTGCAGGAGCACCAGCAATGAAATAGCTGTTTTCCTGAACGAGAACATTTTACAATCAGATGTCATATGAGAAGAGATTCTCTAGAAGGTTGAGGAAATGTGTATAGTTGGCATCGCGGTCACGCGCAGTCGCTAAGTCTGTCCTCATGTTGCGACATGACGACGGTGAGCCGCAAACAATTTCAAGTTAATGCGAGTTCGAAAAGAGTCTGCGGTTTGAGCAAATCAATCGAAAATACAAAAACAAACTGAAACTAAAGGAAATGAACAGTAAATATGACCTAAAAGGAAATTGAATTCACTTCCTTTTGTAGTAATTGGCCAAGAGCTGCCACAGGCAGCATAAACCAGTTGAAAATAAACGACAAATGTTCTCCGATATAGGTTAACGAACCAGGTGAATTTAACTCGAAGTCAAAAAAAAAGAGAAAGGAACCAGTACCTCATCTTCTGTCAGCGACAATCCGCTGTCGAAAAGTGGGTTCATCACGAACGTGTTATATTTGTCATAGGTGATCATCTCCACTCGACAAAGATTACCGTAACGAACTTTCTCGTCGAGGTCCACTGACGACGCTACGCTCCGCACGCTGCCGGAGAGGTTTCTGAAATAGTAGTGCTTCATCATTCTGGATGAGAGAGAAATTCCCGACTCGAGCTACTTATTCGGCGGCTTCCCGTACCAAACTTTTCTCGCCATCTCCCCAAAATCATGACCCCGTTTTTCAAATAAAATGGCTGGCCAGAGTACCACAGAACCAACTTCAAACAGCCCTCAATTTCGTGTCCTACGTAGGCTGGGTTGTGCGCACAACGAATCACTCGACTTCGAGCAGCCGGCCGCAAAAATAACGATGATAGAAAGTGTTGATTGTGACGTTGGGAGTGCCCCAGCCATCTGAAATTTTTTCCTTTTTCCAATCATCATGTATAGTAGCTGATCATAGTTCGAATAACACAAAGTTTCTGCAAGTGATTTAATTCATTAGTTTACGATCCTATGAAGATGTAGGAAAGAAAGTAGACCTAGAGAAATCTTCAAAAAGATCAGAGTTAATCCAGTACGGTAAGTACGTACAGGTTCCGAAATTCGGAATTAATCAGAGCGAAATCGATTTTCAGTATTTCTTCTAATGGTTACACAACAGCCGAGTAGAATCATTCTCTTTCAACAAAGAATGAGAGGAGCGTATGTCACGGCAATGTGCCAATTGCATCCTCATGCGCGTGAGTGAGGGAGCAACGGAAATCCAACAAAATACAGACTAGTATGTTTGAGGGCTAGATGATGAGAAGGGGAGGGATGTCTAATATTGGACTCAGTGTTGAATTGGAACTTTTTGAACACAAAATTCAAATTTCAAAGCCTTGTCACCGACTCACTCCTCTATCCTGAGTATCATATGCCTCGTCTGAAGTTCAAGACTTTCTGGTGTCTGCATGCACATGTTGACAAGTCGGGCAAGATTTTCGAGTCTTCCATTAGGATACGTCAGGCGATCTGAAACCAAGTAGTAGATCGAGGAGTGGCTTGAAGGCACGAAGCTCTCAAACGATTAACTAAAGCAGCCCAAGTCTATACTTAGAGAATCTAGCTAAATCAAAACGCAGCATCTGTCGTAGCGATCTTCCATTGAATTTGAAAGCCGCAACGCAACCGCATGGACCATCCCTTTCCTGTTCCGTTTACCGATTCATATTGTATGATACTCGAGCTGCGGGGAGAGGCAGTGTGGTTGTAAGCGATGCACTATATCACACACGGAGGGCACGGCATCAAAATCACGGATCGATACCTGCCCAGACTCAACCAAAATTTTCATCTGAGTCGATCAATCGGTACAGAGTTGGTAGCCTTCTGAGTCGATCATTTGGTATTAAGCTCGTCTGGGAGGATAAAAGCAGTGACCTCTAAACAGTTGGCGACCGCAATTCGTTGTATAAGCCCGATACGCATTTCATATGTCACTACAATTTTAGATGGAAGTCAAATGCAGAGCGCATCTTATAACTCGAAGCTACCTCAATTTGTGTAGAACACCAGACTTTGCGTGCGCGAAAAAAATCAGAAACATACCAATTTTTCTTGAATGTTCTGTTCACGATGAACAGTTTCTAGGTTTTTTTTTTGCTCAGGATGAATCTGTGGCCCTCAACAACAGCACAAGAGACGCTGTTTTGTCGAAGATCGGCCTAGAAGATAGGGCGTATGTGGGCTACAAACTCTTCTTACAATTAGATGACGCACACACCCGGAGCGGACGAGTTCTTACGACGTTGTACAGACTGGATAAAGTGCAACATTTGCACCGGAAAGTACACATTGCACGCAGACAGCTTGCTGTAGCCAACTGTATGCAATGGCGCACACATTCGGACATCTCGTCCAGATACCCTCTTCATGAAACTTTGGTTGTCACATTCTTGTCCGACTCTTGATTTTACCACTTTTTTTGAAGCCTTTTATCTCTTTAAATACGCCTAATTTCGCCTTCTTTCTGAAGTTTGAACGTACTTAACTTCACTACTTGAATGAATAATGAAGCATGTTTCCTTCTCATTTACTTTTTTTTTCTGACAAATAATTCATTTTGAAGCTGGCGCTGGAGGAAGCATCAATATTGCAAACCATGACTCTTTGCCACTTTTTTTCAGCAGCCTCCATGTTAAAAAATCTCCCCTTCTTCACCCTCTCCTCCGGTGTGAATATAATCCATTAGTCAAGTGCTTTCCGCACAATACCGTATGCCGTTACCGTAAAGAGTGTGTTGGTCATGTGACCTACCTATACGGTAATAGCCACAACATCAACAAGTTCCTTTAAAGAATTATAGCATTTATACGAGGTTAGTTTATTGTTTACTATGTGTTTCCATGTACACAACAAAACACGTTTTTTTTTATTAGTTTTGTTACGCATAATACACATTGGTGTTAAAAGCCAGTAAGTAGGATGAGGAGCTCAAGCGAACAACAAGCTTGATGAATATTCGTGAAGTACCACTCATGGATTCCATACTAGCGAAAACCTGTAGAGCGAGAAAGGTGAAGAAGCTCAAGGATTATTGATAGACCATGTCCGAAATGCGGATTTATCATGAGAAAACGGAAGATTCCAAAAAATCAGTATCTGGTGAAGGGGATGTAGCTCAGATTCTATCCATAGGGTCCACAAGCTTATCCAAAGTTTCCAAAGCGTCTATCGAAAGTCTAAGAGAGACGTCGCAGAAAGCATGTCTGCTTCCGAGGCGAGCTCTCGAACGGTAATGATGACATTAACAAGAACGGCTTGAGTCTCCTCCACGATGATTGTGACTTCTTCCAGGAGAACGGCTAGAACTGTTTGAGTGTTTTTCCGAATGGTGAGGACAGCGTCCATTACAGTGGCTATCGGCACGGGGTCCGTGACGGCAATGGAAACGGCCACAACTTCCGGAACGACTATTAGAGTGACTACGACTTCTTGAAGAACTTTTAGAGTGGGAACTACGCCGCCCGTGAGAATGGTTGTAGCCTTTAGAGGGGCTCTTCGAATGAGGTCCGTGAGGACCGCGAGAATGGCTGCGGCTCCTGGAACGACTCCTTGAGTGAGGGCAATGGCCTCCATGATGGTGCCTGTGACCTCTGGAGCGACTCCTTGAATGAGGGCAATGGCCCCCATGATGATGCCTGCGGCCTCTAGAGTGACTCCTCGAATGAGGGCGATGGCGCCCATGATGATGCCTGCGGCCTCTAGAACGGCTCCTCGAATGAGGCCCATGAGGACCGCGAGAATGGCTGCGGCTCCTGGAACGACTCCTTGAGTGAGGGCAATGGCCTCCATGATTTTGCCTGTGACCTCTGGAGCGACTCCTTGAATGAGGGCAATGGCCCCCATGATGATGCCTGCGGCCTCTAGAGTGACTCCTCGAATGAGGGCGATGGCGCCCATGATGATGCCCGTGACCTCTGGAGTGACTCCTCGAATGAGGGCAATGGCCCCCATGATGATGACCGCGACCTCTGGAGCGACTCCTCGAATGAGGGCGATGGCGCCCATGATGATGCCTGTGGCCTCTAGAGCGACTTCTCGAATGAGGGCAATGGCCCCCATGATGAGGGCAATGGCCCCCATGATGATGACCGCGACCTCTGGAGCGACTCCTCGAATGAGGGCGATGGCGCCCATGATGATGATTGCGGCCTCTGGAGCGGCTCCTCGATTGAGACCCATGACGCCCACGAGAAATACTGCTGCTTCTGGAGCTACTACTCGAGCTGCTTCTGGAGCTACTACTCGAATGATTGCCAGGGCTATGAGATTTACGCACAACCTTCTCCAAATTGCGCTGAGATACATCAGTGTCGTAGCATGAACACGAAATCTCGTCATTGATATCGTAGACGTACAAAGGTACCGTTTCCGATTCGAGAGCGGCATCCATGAGAAGGTCGGCGTTGCTCATTCGTACAGGCGCACCGTTTCCATCAATCCAAAATATGGTCCCAGACGGAATACCCAGTTCATGTGCCTTCTTCTTGAAAGCCTTGAATAGGTCGTTTTTGTCCTTGTAGGAGACGCTGATTTGTGGAGGACGACTCATGAACAGCTTGAGTGTGATGGTTTTCGGGTTGGAAACAGGCTCCTCGTGCATGGCTGCAGACGAATGGAGGAAGGATCGTTCGTTGATCGTGGGGCGCTCATGTTTATATACGACCACAAAAGTGGTCGAGATCTTTGGTGAGACATTCGATGATGGGCGTGCTCAGAGTAAAAGACCATCCCTCACTGAAACTGCTCTTTGGCCTCTACGCGGTCCCATTCACAGACTAACTATTTCAATCGGGCACATTAGGGTTTTGCACACGATCCTCGAAAGCTTTTTTATCAGTATGCGATCCATTTCTAACTAATTAGACAAGGAATGAATCTCCAGACGTTCATTAATAGGTGAGAGTGCACCACGTACCCAACTTCCATTCTAATTATTTCGAAGTTTGAAAGCATATAGCATAACATATGGTATGTGGTATCAACATGTAAGTCCAGTCAAGAACAAAAAGAGGAGGGATCGCTGGATTAGCCGGCTCATCAACCCTTGTTTTTCGCACGAGCGATATTTGTTCAGAGATCTGCTTTGTGGAAGGCTTATGCGACATAGGAGTCATTTGCAAAGTAAGAAACCGGTTTCTCGAAATCCATCTACTAGGAAGGCACCAAAAGAAAAATCATGCAACATTTCTTATGCGAACATACTGTCGATTTCTAATGCTCGCTCTGTCCTATACACCCATTGCTTCATTGAAAAAGGGCGATCTGTATGGGTCGCTGAATATAGGTAGGATTACCGTTACCATTCGTAAAACAGGTTTGGCACCGAAGCAATAACAATTACTCTGCTTATCTTTGTGCAGGGTATTTTTGATGCTGATCTTTGACAGTGGGACGAAAACAGCTCTGAAATTGTCATGGTTCCGTTTATCGACGTGCAGCGATCGAACGCCTTAGTTGACACAGCCCGGCTGTTTACTTTCAAGGACCGTCATCGGTAACCTCATAAACACCTGAGCTCGCAGCTGAGGGGCTTATGAGGTTTAGGACATTCATGTACACAGAATATTTAGTAAAAGAAAGGGCAAATGGTAAGTGTTGATAAATTTCATTTGGATACGCCTTGCGTTTGATTCACACTTGGATTCGCCGATGCGATTGATTGAGCATGTACACACTCGCGAAGATTAGCTGGGTACGCTAATACTTCTTATTCTTCCAGACAATCGAGTGGGCTCTTTGTAGTGCATTAAATAATTGGTTAGCCCCGGCGAACATGCTAACTGGTGCATTTCTGGCTAATTATTATTACTCTACAAGCGGTGTGACATCAAGATAAACTGCTTCATAAAAGTACGTGTATGAACTTCGAAACAGGACAGGTCTAGTCGTTTACAAATTTAAATTGACCAGCGAACCCATATGGCGGCTATGTACAATAATCTGATTTCCAAAGACATCTCAAGGTCTTTTCATTCGATCACTCACTTTTCTTTGTCTATCTGTTTACTTTTTCGTTTGCGCTCCTGAATCGAAGAGCTCACAGGCACAGTCCGAGGTAAAAAAGGTTTCGAAGATCCCCCATGGGTTGAGTCTGCGGTATCCCCGTATTCCATATCAGGTGCTCTCAATTCGGGAAACGTTCAGATAAGTTCTTACAAAGGCTCGAAGATTGCATCAGCTGCATGCCACACCCAAAGGTGGACGAGTTCCAACGGCGTTATAGATGCTGTATCATTCACAAGGGATGCCGATGTTGATTTCAAACAACTATGTTACTCTTAACCCACAACGACAGTGAAAGGCAGTTTTGGGCATTTTTGGCTTAATATAGACAGATTTTTATGCAACTGCAAGAGCTGAATTTGTTCAAATACCCCTTTGCGCCACTTTCGTCATGGTGATCTCGTACAACCTCTAGTCTAACTATTTTTAAAAAGCCCTAATATTCGCAAAGTCGTATTTTCTCATTTGCTTTTGCTTTCTCACTGATGAACTATTCTAGACCAATATTTTCGCTTTTGATATAAAAAAGGTACCTCAGAATGATCGTGAACTGTGCCTTCAATCAAAAGGAAGCTCCATAAAAACAAAACAACAAGTCACTGTAAATATTAAATACGTTCTCATAACTGTTTACAATTCTGGGTATGAATAGAGTGCATGGCCTATCTCAAACTAAGTTCAAAATGTGGAGATAACGTGAATGCTTATACATATGTACATATGTATGTTGCCCCTCATCATACAAGTGAACCATATTAAAAGCTTTCACTCTACACTTTCGCGCTTCAGTGAGCTTCCAAAAAAGTAAAATGAAAGGAGCTGGTTAAACTTCTTGTTGCTATAGGAATCTAAAATAAACAGTTCTCTTAGAGAAGATCTTCAATTACACAACTACTTTTAGGACCCCTGGTAGAACTGTTATCAGGTCATAGTGAAAAAGAAAATCAGTTGAGTGAAAGCTTCTGATCTATAAGTATTTGTTAGTTTCGAATGTCCCAAAAAATCTAGTAAAGGATGAATGAATGATGAATGATGTGAAACAGCGGCAAAAGCGATGCCTGCGTTTGCATGATTGTTGGATCGAGACGGTCCTCGTGTCACAGGAATCTTCTAAATCTCCAAAGTATTTTTTAGTGTTTTGACGCCAGTAATAAATGAAATTTTTTTTCTGAGGTCTAGCCCATGCAAACTGAGTCATACGAGTATGCTTTCAAACGTTTCTACAATTCTTGTCAAAAATCAAAAGCGTGACGAGCATAGAACAAGTTTTACATGCGTAGAACTTTGCAAGAGTTAACTACTTTATAACTGTATATTATCTATTAGGCCATTGAGTTTTTATCTCTCAGTTTTTTTTTCAAAAATTTCTGGAAAAAATTGGAAAAAAATTGAAAATATTATATTGCATGGTGCTACTATCTCCTACTCAACTTTTTATTTGAATTTACCATCATTTTCTTGCATAAAACACATCAAAAATTTGTCTATCTTTGACTAGTATTTTCAAGATCTATCTAAATAACCGAACAGATTACCACATACGCCTTTTACAAATGGCTAACTAACTGATGTCCACTATTGTTTTGCAAAATGAACATTATTTTCAAAATTGTTACAAAAATTCAAAAAACAAAGAAAAAGCAAAAAACATGGCTCGATTTCACTTTAGAGTGTTTTGCTGTACGAGGTTGGTCGAAGGAACTTTTATTTGCTCGACCACTCATCAATCTTGTTGACGAAACAAAACAATTTGAAATTAAATCGATCAAGAGATTTAACGAAGAGATAACTCGGAGATACTGGATCCTACCTTATACGGAAGGAATTGTACGAAATAAAAAATAATAAGCACTAAATAGAAGCACATACAGTAGTCATTAGTGAGTATGGTAGCCTCGATGGTCACTACGATGACCGTATTGATGATCGCAGAAATGATCGTACCAATGAGAACGTCTATACCGTTCAGCCATTACTGGACAGCGAGATGGTACACGCAACGGATCGTGTGATCGTCTCAGATGGCCATGATGATGCTCCTCCATGACAACTCTTGAGGGGTGATGTTGCCCGTGATGACGGTCATGACTTCTGGAGCGAGCTCGGGAATTTGAATGGCAGCATCGATGACAGCGATTGTGGCTCCGAGAACGGTTCCTCGTATGAGAACGTCGTTCACGAGATCGATGACGGCTTCTTGAACGGCTTCTCGAATGGAAATGATGAGCATGTGTTCTGTTGTGACTTTTGGATCTTGAACGACTACGGGATGGTTGCCGGGGATGTCGTCTCCTGCGACAAACAGTGCGTGTAGTGAATTCATCGCAGCTGGGACAAGATATGTCGAAGTGTTCATGCTCGTGGTCATTACGAATGTGCAGGCGAAGTACGGTTGTGTCCATTGCAGCATTCTGTAGAGTATCAGCACTGTCGATGCGTATAGGATCGCAGTCTTCATCCATCCAGAAAATGGATTCAAGAGGAATGCCCAGTCGCTGTAGATTCCTTCTGAATTCTCTAACCAATTCATGTTGATCCCGATACGAGATGGTGAATCGCAGCGGTCTTCTCTGCAGTTTCACAGTAAGGGATTTTGGCTCAGACGACGATTGTTCTGGCATAGTCGGAGGGGAACAAGCTGGAGGATAAGGAATAGGGCTCACGTAGGCCCTATAATGGTTGGGAATACACTCGGCAGTGGACGCAATGAGGCAGGTAATCGATACTACTGAATCATTACGACGCTTGTTTTTGCTATTCGCACGTGTCGATTTTCTATTGTCGATTTGCAAAAGTACTTCGGAAGTTCAATCATTACAGCAGTACTTTTCGTAACTGACTAGTAATCAATGAGCTTGACATGACGCACTGCCAAAGGCGCCGCCAGCATTCACAAAGCTCTTTGATCGGGGCTGTGCAGCACAAGCATGATTCCTACATTTCTCTTAGAGTTAATAGTCTTGATTAATACAAAGAAGATTGTCTAAGCTGAGGTGTAGTCCATGCAACGTCATTTTATCTGCCAAATACTCTTTGAAATGAATCCACACCTCTGACAGAAACCAAATGCAGGGCGCATCCTGGAAAAACTTAACAATACAGTGTTTCTCATCATCTGTGATACATTTGGGTCACTTGGAAAGGAAATATCCTGAGTTTTTTTCTGTCAAAGCTCCTTCATACTGTTTGTGAATTCATCACGAAAAAAAAGTAAACAACACAAACAACTGATTGGTACAAAGTCAACGCCCTAAGTTAGGTAGACCTTCTCGTCTTGAGCGCTGGCTTTTTTTCTGACTTCATCAAGAGCCAGCAGTCATAAATGCATGTGGGGCGTTTTATTCTGATAAAATAAATTTATAGGACTGATTGTGAGAAGTTTCTCTCAGCTGACCGTATACTTTTCAGCAGTTCATGAACCAGCCGAGCCCATCGCGATATTCTTAGAAGAAAATTCGCATATTACATATTTGCCCCATAAAAGCCCATCTCTTACAAATGTTAAGAACCTGGAGCTGCATACATGAGAAGGGTGTCAGATGGATGAAATAAATTTTTTCAGGTTCAGGGTGTCTCACAACACGACGCTGAGGATGAATCACTGCGACAAGCAGGAAAACGGAAGAAGAAACATTCAGTTCACCTTTCGGAACCATTGGAGCGCACATGAGTACGGTACCGGGAGCAATTCGTCCACTTGAAGGCGGTCCATCGCCGTCCCATAGTGGTATAGCAACGGCTCGGCGGAATGCTGTCCTGAAGAGATAAAAACTGAATATCCAAGACTTTTCGGAAGCATTTATACTCTGCTCAATATTGTGGTGCTAGTTAATATGCAGTTTCGAGCCGGAGCTCCTTTGTCACACGTTCTGTGTCCGATTAAAATCTAATAAACACGCCGAGGCAAATTGAACAAATTGAGCAAATTTAAACAAATTGAAGGCAGGGCGCACCCCACGAACGGGGTTACTCTACGAGTCAAAATACTTTACTCCTCATTCTTTTATCCTAAACACCTCAACATTATATATTGGTCTAGTATATCTCATCACCCGCATGCCAAATTGATTTTTTATCCTTAAAATCAGTTTCCTTCGCCGTTACTGATAACTGCTATGAGCCAGACATGACACTGAAGGCGACCAAGAGAGCATTGCAGCTACAGAGAACGATCAGGGCTTGTATTATGAAATATATGGGGTTGCAACGTAGGCCTTCTAAAATGTGCATCAACATCATCGTGCTGCACTTTGGGCCTCTAACNAATCAGCATCATTAACTCCTACTGGGCAAATCTAAGCAGTTTGACAGATTACCTGGTCTTTGCTGCCAGTTCACTGAGCACAGAATCTGCAAGGCTTGCACTGCAGTCGGTAACCCGAAATGACGGTAGTTTGATTACGGTACTTGCAACACCATGACCTCCTACGGTAGTTCGTTTCTTCACTGGATATGGCTAAAATCGTAAGCTAATAAGTGAAGGAAGCGGAAGAAAAAAAATCATGCACAAAGCAGTGCACCCCTAAACTCACATTGTATAGATTTCTGACAAATTAGGTATAGAAAGTTTGTGAGGCTGAGCTATGCATACAAAAGAATCCGGAACGTTCCGATTTTCCGAGAAGGCTTTCGACTGTACCAAACTAGTGAAACAGGAATAATGGACGGACGTACCAGCCTAATCTTTGATAGAAATTTTACCAAGTCAAACTGCAATCCTTGCAATCACCCATCGAAACCGCGCGGCAGTCCCTCAAATCTGACCCTTACGTTGCCCGCTCTGATCACTTCCTTCCACGACACGCGGCGCGTACGTCGAGCGCGGCACGCCGCCAAGCATAAACTCCCCCACAGAAAAGTTTTTTATTTGTGGATTACTTGGCGCGAACTTTCACAGGTTCTCTGCAGGTTATTTTGCTCAGCATAGAAGGCTCTGTCATGAATATCGATATCGAATCTTACGTGCTCTCAAGATCTGTCCTCAAGGGTCCCCTGCATTTGAAGCACCCTTTAGGGGGTGTAGGAAATGACTATAATTTTCTTCTCCATAATTCCGCAGAAAGAATGAATCACTGACATGGTCGGTAGGAATTACAAAAGTTACCTGCACGTCTTGATGCTTCGGTACGCTGTAGCTGGTCGACGGTTCATCGAGAATAACTACGTCATAGTCATGAGGAGATAGAAACGTACGATCACTACGGCGTAGTTGAATAATTGCCACGGACACGTCCATGTGGGCTAAAAATAGATAAATGAAACCAACCAAGAAAAGAAAAATTGTTGTTTCAACGACCTTACAAGAAAGATGCAGAAAGTTTCCCGTAAAAGCAGGGGTTTCTCACGTTTATGGACCCACATCAACGCTGCGTTCTCTTTTTTTTTNTTTTTTTTTCTCATGAAGTCCTGCTCCTGCTTATGGACTTGGAGCTCAATGCATCTTTCTCGAGATTCTATGCAACAAAGTGATTCAGAATTGTCTCAAGTGTATGTCACGAATGGAATTCGACAGTAGGGTGACCAAAAATCGAGTAAAATATCTTAATAGGCAAGATAATGTCCTTATCAGGCGTTTATGCTCGCTGTAAACTCGCATGGTCGGAAAATTCACTCGTGGATCACCTTGAAAAGAACGCTGTCAAACAGACACGCCCTGTCTGAATGCTTAAGCAACTAAAAATGGACACTAGATAGATTGACACTTGTCAAGCAGGTCCTGCTCAAGAGTGTACTTTCAAATGCAAACTTATTTCACCCGAATATGGACGATATCCATTTTTTACATTCTGCTAATGCATTTTGTTCTCGCATGCTAATCTTAAGAGTCGGATCGTAGCCATTCTGTCTGCTCGTAAAAATTAAGGGAATATTCGGAGTTGCTGCAATATTGGTATCAATCCTGTTCTGGGACCCGCCATCCATCCAGATTCGTTGCTGTGTTTGAGTGCGTACTTTGCATTAAAATAGCGGGGAATTGCCGTAGTATAAACCGGTACTTTTATCCTTTCAGACATAGCTGGTACCATTGAAACGATCCCATGACTGGACAGGGCCGGGCTAGCTTTTTTTTGAGGCTGCGTCACCTACTAGACCCCACCTCCGCCTCCTTTGTGAGCATGCATGCAAATAATGAGCATGGATTATCAATGAAAGTCATATCCATGGAGAGAGATTAGGGAAGCCTACGCACGGCTCACAGAACGAGGGGTCCGGGAACACCTCCCCGAAGACGGCGTCGCGCACGCCGCACCCGCCGCGTATCGCAGGATTGCGAAGGAAGATTGGAGCGCGCAATTTGTGAGGTAGGGAGTCCTTTAATAATTTGAATTGGCTGACCGCTCCTTTCAGTTCCAATGCGGT